AAGTCTTTATCACACGGTTGATATAGGTGTACACTTCGCGATCCGATCGCGATCTAGTGCCGAACGAACGGCACCTCCGGGTTCAGCACATGTGTGGTTCGATGTTGTCTCCTCCTTCTTGATCTAGCAAGTAGGAGAGGAGAAGTAGATGGGATCACAACCAACACTACGGCGTGGTGGTGATGGTGGTGGTGGAGCACCGACAGCACTTCGCTAAGCGTCGTCAGGACGAAGTGATGGAACTAGCTACGGAGTAACAGGAGAGAGAGGTGCGCCAAGGGCTTGGTGTGTCCTCTTGGGGCGCCCCCTCCCCTCTATATATAGGTGGAGGGGCATGGGAAACAGCCCCTCCAAGTCCTAGGGCGCAGCTAAGGGGGAGAGGACTTGGACTCCAAGTCCAATCTTATTCCTACTAGGACTCCTTCCTTTTTTGCCTTCACTAGCCACATGGGCTTTTGAGGACTTGGTGCGCCTAGCCCAATAAGGCCATGGCACCTCACCGTAGCCCATGCTATCCCTTGGGTCATGGTGGACCCACTTGTGGACTTCCAGACCCCTCCGAAATTCTCCGGAACCTTCTGGAAGCTTCCTGGTACAATACCGAAAAAACTGCACCTTTTTTCGAAACCCAAAATGTGACTTCTCATATATAAATATTTACCTCTCGACCATTCCAAGACTCCTCGTGACGTCCGGGATCTCATCTAGAACTCCTAACAACATTTGGTTACCACTCATCAAATATCCCAATACTAGTCTAGCGTCAACGAACGTTAAGCGTGCGACCCTGTGGGCTCGGGAATTATGTAGTCATGACCAAGACACCTTTTTGGTCAATAACCAATAGCAGGACCTGGATGTCCATATTGATTCCTACATATTCCATGAAGATCTTTTATCGGTTGAACCTTTATGACAACATACGTAATTCGCTTTATTTGTCGGTATGTTACTTGCTCGAGATTCGATCATCGGTATCTCTATACCTAGTTCAATCTTGTTACCGGCAAGTCTCTTTACTCATTCTGTAATACATTATCTTGCAACTAACTCCTTAGTCACTTTGCTTCAAGCATCTTGTGATGTGTATTACTGAGAGGGCCCAGAGATACCTCTCTGGTATACGGAGTGACAAATCTCAATCTTGATTCATGCCAACTCAACAGACACCTTTGGAGATACATTTAGAGCATCTTTATGATCACCCAGTTACGTTGTGACGTATGATAGCACACAAGGTATTCCTCCGGTATCCGGGAGTTACATGATCTCATGGTCGAAAAAACATGTGTTTGACATTAAGAAAGCAGTAGCAATAAACTGAACGATCATATGTTATGCTAACGGTTGGCTCTCATCCATCACATCATTCTCCTAATGATGTGATCCCATTATCAAATAACAACTCATATCTATGGTTAGGAAACCTTAACCATCTTTGGTCAAGGAGCTAGTCTAGTAGATGCTCACTAGGGGCACAGTATTTGTTTATACATTCACACATGTAATTAAGTTTCCTGTTAATACAATTCTAGTATGAATAATAAACCTTTATCATGAATAAGGAAATATAATAATAACAATTTTATTATTGCCTCTAGAGCATATTTCCATCAGCCGGCTCTCCGAAAAGTTAATTCCATTCGGCAAGTACAACGCATGCAGAAGAGTCCTCGGGCGCACGACCTTCCGTGGACAGTCGTCGCACTTTATGAGTGGCAACGGTGCGTCGACGAGCCTTTGGGCCAACACCAAGCCCGCACGATGGCCGTTGGTGTATTTGTCGGCGAACCGGCGACGAGGTAGATCCGAGCGGCTAGAGGCGGAGTCAATACATGCATGCGGCCTGGGGGCGTTGCCGGAGCTGTGTGGTCCGATACCTGACCAGTCTATGACACGACGCGGCCTCCGGCAGCCGGGTATGCTCCAATTCGGCCGGATCCACTCCAAATTCGGCGACCGGATATGCTGAAATCAGGTTGCCTGGGTTGGACAGCTAGGGGTGTCGAGAAAACGGGGGCTTCGACAAGGGTAGGTGTGGGCGTGCGGCCGTGCTGGACAGCGACGCGGCCGAGAAAAAATGGCGGCGATGGCGGCTAGGGACGGGAGGGGAGTGGGCGGGGTGCGGTTGGAGGGGGTGGGGGATAGAAAATGGGGCGCATGTGTCTCCGATATGCGGGCCAGAAGAGGACATGGGCACGCGTTGCGTCTGTCCGCGCGTGTTCGTTTCAACGCAAGTGCGACCGAAATTTGAATCCGAAATAGATTGAAAGCGGACCGAAAAAGAATTTTTATCCGTTTAGTCCCACGCGTTGAACTGCATTTTCTGTTTGTTTACCCTCAAACGGCGGCGACCGGATGGGTCGTGCACTGGAGTTGCCCTGAGGGCTTTGCCCAATGACACACAAGTAACGGCGAGGGAGGATGCATGGATTAGAGGGCATTGGTGGCATAAGCCTGGAGGCGTCACTCGAGTGACCAAGAGCGACGTGGGGCTGATCCGATGTTTTCGGGTGTGAGGTTCTAAAGTTTTGCTAGCCGAGACACCGCGGTGTAAAGCTAGCCTCCAATAGCAATCGATCCATTCTAGGACGTGCAGTAGAGTATACTAGTACACCCACCGAACACCAGCAGAACAGCCATGCGCCCGGCCCAAATCCGGCCAGCGCAGCCCGTACGCACTTCGCCGTTGCGAATCGGGAGTGTAGGCACATCGCACTTCCGGATAAGGGAAGCCGAGGAAATCTGACCTCAAGGCCGCCATCACCTACCGCATAGGCCAGCATGACACCCATCAGACCCGCGCCGCCATGAAGAAGAACCGTCACCCATGCCCACAACGTCACGCTCAAGCGTTCGGGCATGTATTCCTCTTTTTTTCTGTTTTAGAGCTACTTGCTTTTCTGTTGCGTTTTGTTGCCATTCGGCAGATTTATTGGATTTGTAAGGGTCTCAGCTTAAGGTGCAAGCGCCTTTTTTCTAGAAAAACGTCATGCTCAAGCGTCCAACACCACGCCGATGACGAAGCAGCCTGCCATAGCCTTCCAAGCCATATCCGATCATCAGTCATTGCGTCGCCATTGCTATCCACGAGAAGCTCACAGTCATGCCTGAGAGCCACCCGCACCGCGAGCAATGTCCTCGCCGCTGCCGTCGGTCACACGGCTTCATCTGCAGCATCCTCTGCCGAAGGCGAAGAGGAGAAAGGAAGGATTGTGCTGTGACGGATAGGGTTCAGGCTACCCCCTGAGTCGCCCACACAGAAGCAATGCGGGGGGCTGTTCTTTGTTATTGTGCTTGGCCCAGTTAGAACAGTGATGTGATGGTGAAGAATGGCTTTAGTAGCCTTATTAGCAACCAAGATCTCTACTACTAATGTCTACTATTAAAGGTGAGATTGTTTCGTCCCCTCCACTCCAGTTAATCTCATTCCACCACAGGCGTCTCTCATCGGTTTTCACTGTTGGTTTTATCCGATTTCTTTCCAAAACTCATACGAGGGCTTTTCCCCGCACTAAGTGTTTTTCTTATTTTCTTCATTTTGGCCTTTGATGAATCAAAATCACCGAGTTTCGTTTGTCTCCACATAAAGGAATCAAATCATACGACTAAAGAAAGAATCAAATCGTAACTTTCCATTTCCCAAAAACTGTTAGCATAGCTAAATCAAACTATTTTTTTATCCCTTCCTTAACAAAAAAACCTCCTGATCTCACACCACATCATCCACCCCTCCTCCTCTAAGGAAATTGACTATTTGTTATCAAGTTCGTTGCAGTTTTTCTGTTATTAAATGGGAGTTGATTATGTCGCCTCCACGCGAGTTAATTCCCTTCCACCACACATGTCTCCTCCCATCGGTTTTTACTGTTGATTTTATCCTATTTTCTTCCAAAACTTATCCCACGGGCTTTTCCCGCACTAAGCATTTTTCTCTTTTTATTCGTTCCGGCCTTTGATGAATCAAAATCACAGAGTTTCCTTCGTCTCCAAATAAAGGAATCAAATCATACGGATAAAAAAGAATCAAATCATACAGCTAAAAAAGAATCAAATCATAACTTGCCATTTCGCAAAAACAATTAGCATAACTAAATCAAACATTTTTCTATCATTTCCTTATAAAAAAATCCTGACCTCACACCACATCATCCACCGCTCGTCTCAAGGAAATTGACAAATTGTTATCAAGTTTGTTGCAATTTCTCTACTGTTAAAGGTGATGTTGTAAAGTCTATTTCTGTGTAGTGTGTTCTGGTTTCTGTTGATAATTGTCTATTTGCAGAAAAAAAAATAGGCAGGCTTCAATTAAGATTGATCTAGAACTGGTTGAACAATGTCAACATTGCATAGTTGTACGTCATTTAGGGTTGTCTAAATTTCATATCACCCGGAGTTGTCTGATGTCTCCGAATATGTTGATCTCATGAGGTAACAAATTTTACATAATTATACTTGGCATACTTAGAATCAAAAGTTAAATCATGTATGTGTTCAGGAACTAAGTTCAAAATCGTGTTGTCAGTTTCTGCAATTTCTAAGCTACGAGCACTTGTTTTGGCCGTTGTTGAGGAAATATTTGGTTATGCCTGATTTTCGTCTTTCTTATGTCTTTGATCATTACGGTTATATATATTTTGTCATAATGCACGGACACTCAATTATGATATCAAGTAATTCTTCACTGATTTGTCGATAAAATTGTTAAATGTTGCCCATAGCAACGCACGGGCATTGTCCTAGTAGACATAACATCTTGATGCATGGTGGGTCAACACTTCAATAAAATTATCACTACGGGAGAGGTGAAATAGCCGGATGCTACAATGCAGCTTCAGCTTGTTCTGCCTGACCTTGTTACAATGCTAAAACCTTTTTATTCCCATAAACTGGTCGACTCAGTGTTAGACCAGCACATTGCAGCAAATATAACCATCTCGCCATAGTTCATAGTTCAAGTCCACAAATGGTTGTGCCTTGAGTAGATGTCAGTATGCTAGCTACGCGAAGAGTGTCCCACTCATGATGGTAACAGCTTCTCCCTGAATCAGCACTCTCTTATTTGCAACATCCAGCTCCAGATATAGTGTTCCACTCCTTGGAGATGCCTGATGATGAAATGCACAGTACAAATGAAAACCAACGTGGTAGTTTGATTGATTGAGCGCCATTGCAGCATAAACGGATCACTGAACCATAATTCACCTGTCGAAAACATATTCAACAACATTACCTGAAACGCTATCAATTTTTGTTTCCCCAGCTTTTCACCCCAATAGGGTGCCAAAACACAATGTGCACTGCCACATACAGGATCCTGCAATGGTATTGAAGACAGTTTTGGGGTATCTATCAATGAGGAAGTTCAACGAGCTTCACTATTTATATGTATTCAACTTGGCAGAGGTTGTTGTGTCACCTCATCAATCCCAAATTTTGGGCAGAAGAAACGTGAGAAGAAGTCGTAACCCGACCCAGGAGGTGCCGGCCCTGTCACAATCACGCCTCTGCCTGCACATTTTCCAATTTCTTCGATGTTAGGAAGGAGATCGGCGACCTCTTTCCCTGATGAAAGTTCGACCTGAAAGCCGTGCCACATCTTTTGGTTATACTAGCACCAACACGGGTTCGTTACCTCCATTTTACATTCAAGTTAGGAAATACGTATATTTATGCAGGTGGTAGAATAGAAATGGCAAAGGGGGTAAGGTGAAAGACAGTACAATGAAGTCGGTGGTGGTCAACGATTTGTGAACACTGACGACGGACGCGCCGTTGAGCGTCTCCGGGATGGACGGCAGCTCGTCGGCGGGGTCGCAACCCACGTAATCACTCATGGGGAAGTTCAGCTCAATGAACAGCTTCCCCTGCTCCTCCGTCTCGGGTGCAGGAACCTTCTTGGCGGTCAGGATGCCGGACTTGGTCGCAAACTCGACCACTCCATGGCGCTCACCGAGGACGGCCGTGAAGAGGAAGTGGGCTGTTGCCAGCGTCGCGTGCCCGCAGAGCGCGACCTGAGAATTGGAAACGACGGCGCAGATATGAATCAACTGAAGAAATGAAATTGAAATGGTGCGAAATCAACGGGTGTTCAGATGGGAAGCTAGGCGGCGACCTCGGTGACGGTGGTGAACCAGCGGAGGTGGAACCGCGGGATGGCGGCGCCGGCTGCGAGGGAGGAGGAGTCGCGGGAGACGAAGGCGGTCTGGGACTGGTTGAACTCGACGGCGACGGACTGCATCCACCGCCCGTCCCCCGTGGGGGCGGCGGCGTCGTCCTCGAGGAAACACACCGCGGCCGGGTGGCCCTTGAACGGCTCGGCCGTGAAGGCATCCACCTGCGACGAGACAGCGCAGGCCAACGTGAACGTCAATCCTCATCCGGGCCAAGAAGAGAAAATGAAGAAGAGAAGAGAGCGCTGACCACGACATACTGGATCCCTTTCTTGGCCATGTCCGCGAAACAGCAGAGCACCCGAGCGCCAAATCTGATTTCTCCGAGCTGATGATGATGCCAGTTGGTAACCAGCGACGATATGGAACTTGCAGGCTTCCTTCCTGGCGGTACTCTCTTGTGCTATTTAACTTCTGCGCTAGGCATAAGGAGTCACTGACAGATGGGGTCCCCTTGCGTAGAGAGTCGTAGGCCAGCGGCTACAATGACGGGACCTTACCTGCTGAAAAGTTTTTTTTACGGGAGAACGCCCACTGGATCATTTTATTTCAGGTTAATGATAGTATAATGCTAGGGGGTCTATGTCCCAAAACAAATCCTGCATTGTTTTGGGGACGCGTCGGGGCGCTCGCTAGCGCTCCGCAGTCAAACAAAAAAGAAAAAAAATCTTTTCTATTGTAAAAAGGTAGAAAGGGTATGCAATATGTTTCAGAAATGTTAACGCCCACACGTGTGGGCGTTCACCACTCCGTCCACACGCAAGCATCGCCGTTGGTTTCGTTTTGCACGAATCTTGGAGCAAAAGGGCTGGTTTTCGGCGCCACGTTGGACGATTCTAGTGTGCGGTGTGCGAGTGGGTTCGCCCGCACGATAGTTGCCATCCCGCGGTCAGCGGTTGCCACTGAGAGGCGTGCGGTGGAAGTGCCATGCGCCCGCACGCCACGGTCCGACCGCAGTTGACGTCAAACACGTCGCACACCCCTCCACCCTCTCCCTCACGGTTCCATTCATTCTCCCCCGCGTCGCATTTACTGGCACAACCCACTCGCATTACAGTCCACCGGAGGAGAAGGCGAGGGGAGAAGGCGACGGCGGAGGCGGGACAGTCGACGGTGTTCGCGGGCGTTGGTGGTGCTCGTCGGAGCGGAGCGGCGTCGCCGGAACGCGTGCGGGTCGAAGGCAATGCTCGCTTCATTTATCGCATCCCCTCCCTGATTTTGTTCCCCTCTTTCCTCCCTGTTCGATTTCTAGATCCATTCCTAGAAATTCCGGCGATTCGGCGGTGCGCCGGCGTTCCCGCCGCTGCGGCGGTGCGCCATAGTTGTGTGCCTGCCGTTGCTTCGTGGGAGTGGGCAGTTTCGTCGCCGCCGCTGCGGCGGCATCGTCGGTGAGGCTATGCCTGCTCGTTGGCAACGCATTAGTCTTGCATTTGGATTTTGAGAGTTGTCCGCCGGGTTGTTTTGGTGCGGATTGGTTCGAAATTTGGGGTTGCAGCCATTTCGCGCGAGAATTGTAAGGGTGATTTTGAGGTTGAAGCAGTTGCCATTGAAACCTAGATCTAGTCTAGTTTTGGGGTTAAAACTGCAGACTGTGGCGAAATTGGCAATATGATTGAACGTGAAACAAATGTGCGGCAACTAAACTACCTGAAGAAACGTGGTAGTTGCCACAAACGTGTTCTCCCATGTGGCAACAGATTTCCGAAAATGACTGTCATAGTTGCCGCCCCAAAACGAGGTGGCAACTAATTTCATTGAACTCTTGTGGCAGTTGCCACACGCATGCTCTTCCCATGTGGCAAATTTTAATTCTGCTGAACTTGTACGATAAGTAACCAGAAAAAATATGCTTTCTGAATGTGGCGACTATGGCAGTATGACCGAACGTGAACAGGTGTGTGGCAACTAAACTACATGAACAAATGTGGCAGTTACCACAAATGTGTTCTCTTCTGCGGCAACATATTTTCTGAAACTGACTGTCATAGTTGCCACAAATGTGTTCAAGCTCACACACAAGGGGGGCAACTAAAATTTACTGAATGAATGAGATAGTTGCCACATACACGCTCTTGAACGAGGCAAACTGATTTTTTACTGAATTTACATAATAGTAACATCAAACATTCTTTTTCATTTGTGAGACTTGTTTTTTTTTCTGAATTATTTGCGACAGTTTCCAAACTTTGATAGTTGCCACAATCGGTAGCACTGGACGGAACTAATGTGCACATCGAGTTGGTGTGTTTGTCACTTTGGATTTTGTATAATCATGTTGCAATACAGTATGTGAACATAATGTCTGTTGCCACAATACAGATATGACAGTGTGGCAAACTGGCTGCATAGTATGGCAACCACATTTGCATTCAAATAGTTAATATTTTTCTGTTAGGTGGCAACTGCTTACCCATTGCATTTTACACTTTCGCCATTAACAATTTGGTTTGTTCCTACATCAGCATAATGGCTCGTGGCGATCATCAAAGTGATGATGATGATTTCATGGATCCACCTCAACGTAACCAGGCAACTGGACGGAGAAAAGAGGGCGATGAGGTAACTGTCCGCACACCCGCCCCCCTCCTCCTGATTTATGTTATTTGTTGGCAGCTAGATCTTTTTTATAGTCGTCCATCATGAACTAAATTTTCATAACATTGCAAAAACATGGCAACAGCTCAACACTTTTGTGTTTGTTTTTTGCGGAAGAAGAAACGTATTCGCAACAGAGCCTCCCAGGAACGTCTGACCGTGTTGATTGACAAATTCACTGACGATCAAAAGGGAGCTGCTGCTGAGATGGGTATGCAGGTTCTGATGGATGTCCGGTGTACGAACCTTGTCAACCCGATATGCGACTGGCTTGGTGAGATATACGATCCCGCCTCCAGAGAATTCGTGATCCTGGGACGGGGAAGACTTCCATTGAATGAGGAATCCGTGTTCTGCACTTTGGGTGTGCCTCGGGGACATATCAAAGTCCCGTACGAGGTTAATAATGAGATCGAGGAAGAGCTGTTCGCCCGTTTGTTTCCTGGGTTGGAGGCAATGCCGAACACGTCTGTACTGGCAGATTCTCTGCAGGACATGACGACGCACGGAGAAGTTTTCAAGATGAAGCTACTCATGTACCTCATCTCAGCTGTTTTCGCGCCGACCACTTCTCTTCGCCCAAGCAACAAATGTTTCCCCATCCTGGTGAATGATCCATGCTCGCTACTGCCAGTGTTTTCGTTGCGTTTCTTCCGTTTTGATTTCTGACGCGGCAACCTTTTTTGCCCTGAAATTTTGTGTGGTGCAGGCGAATCTGAAAAACGTGAAGAGTATGAACTGGTGTAAGTTTATTGCCGACTTTCTCCACGATGCTTTCAAAAACAAGATGTACCAGAAGGGTTGTCGTCTGCACTTAATGGTATTTTATTTTCACCAGATCTCTGTGTGAACTCTTTGTTTATAACGTACTTTTTATTTCATGCATGACAATCTGGTCATAACAAGATGGCAACTGCCATAGTGACAATGTGGCAACTGCCATAATGACAACGTGGCAACTGTCATACTGACAATGTGGCAACTACCTTCATATTAGCATGGCAACTGCCATCACACTTTGATGGCAACTAACACATACATATTATCGTTGGATCATACATTATCCTGCTCTTTTTTTTCTGAACTACAATTTAACCACGATGGCAACTGATATTTTCTTTTCTTTGCAAAATTGTTTTAAATCAGCTCATGTATGTCGACTCTCTTGATCTGTCCACCATGGATTTCACCGGGATAGGAGGCCCGCCGCCTACTCACAAGTTTGCTGTTTCTGCGTGGACCATCAGCGCTGTCAAGGCTGTGCTTGCCGCAGACAGGGCAACTGATGGCACATATGGAAAACTACAGGTTAGTTTTTGTTTATGTCTTTTTCACACGGCATGCTTACAAATTTGACACGACGCAACCGTCCGTGGTTTATAAGGCATGCTTACAATTTCTTTTTTTGTTTTTCATAGCTGATGGCCAAGCATGCTATAGACTACAGCGTGTTTGGGGGGCCTCAAAGATTTGAAAAGTGGATGGACGTGCACTCAGCTCCGTCTTGCCCTTCTGAGGTAATCAAAATGTCCACATCTACGGTTTGCCGTGGATTACATGTTGATGTCGCGGAAGCGAATGCAGTACGGGCGTTGTTTTTGTTGATGCTTCTTGTTTTCGTGCACAGGCGAGGGCACCAGTGGAGCATCTAATTGGGCAGTTTGCATCCGGAATGACCGGCCTGCTCGGGAAGTTGGTTGAGGGGTGGACGTCCCTCAGTGCCTCTGACAGCGACGCGGTTGCGAGGCAGTTCACTTCATTTGTCCCAGAACGTACACATCGGCCAACCGGTTGCCGTGGCCGGTATGACTACAACAGCTCCCAAGAGCCCGGTGACACACAGGATGATGTGGATGGAGACGCTGGCCTCAGCAAGGACGACGACGATGACACCGATGACGATGAACACGCTGAAGTTCGCACATGCGGCAACAAGGGCAAGGATGCAACAGGTGCCCACCCACCGGAGAAAGTGACAGAACATACGGCTGCGAGAGGCGAGGGGGTTTTGCCATCAAGGAGGGGGAGGGCTCCAGAGGATGTTGGGCAGGGTTCTGCTGGCAAGAGGTCTAGGATCGATCCCGTAGCTGCCAGGAAGAGGTTCGACTCTCAATTTTAGTTTTCTGCTGTGTATCTTTTCTTTGGAAAAATCTTATCCATTTCTTTTGCACTTGTTTTTTGTCAAGCGCGGCAATTAGTTTGTTGTCTGACAATTGCCACCTTCTTTTTTCCTTCCATCTGTTGCGTGCAGTGAGCCGACCGCTGGTGGACGAGCAGCTACGAAGAAACAGGCGCCAACGCCAACCCGTGTTTCTGCTCGCTTGAACAAAGGTGCCCCCATTGCCGGTGACATCCCTTCCACCAGGTCTTCTGCTCGTACGACGACGACCAACACCGGGGATCCTGTCGTGTTGCCTGACCTGAGGAAGGCAGTCAAGAAGTAGGTTTCTCCATGTGCTTTTCATTTTGAGATAGCGGTTTTTTTCTTGATTTTTCAATGCAACTGGTCTGCTTTTGTCACATGTTCTTCTGTTATCATCCCCCACGAGGCAACTGCTGTTTTTTCCAAATGATTTCTTCCTTCATTTTTTAAATGTATGGCAACTCCTATTATCTTTACATGGCAACTGGCATCTAGGCCAAATGGCAACTATTTCTGTACCTAATGGCAACTGTCATCTTTTT